AGGGGAAAATTTTTAATTTTTTTGTTTTGGGCTGGTAAGGGGATCGCAACTCTTGGCTTGGTGTTGTCCACACCACACTCAGCCAGTGAGCGCACCGGCCATCCCTATATAGGATCCGAACCTGCGGCCTCGGCGCTATCAGCACAGCAGCCTCCCGAGTGAGCCATGGGGCCGGACCTCAGGGGAAACTGTTGTCTTGTCCCTCTCACTTCCTCTTCCACCCTAAGTAAGCAAATACATTCTGGAAGTGTGTTTTTAAGGGGCAACTCAATATCAGCATTTTGACAATTCATACAAAGATGGCATTAGGAACCATACCAACTAGCAGGCTCCTCTCCATTCCCAGGGAAACTTCTTGTATCACTTAACTTAAGCTCTTCCAAACCTAATGAGATAAGAATGTGGTTAATGACTGTTAAACTGTTGGGTTTGTAACTCTGACCACCACAATTTTCTTATGCTGTAATATAATCAACTCTATTCCACATTGTACAGAGTTAAAATACAATGCAAAAAGTTTGGAGATTTTAAAACTTGCTATCAAGACGGATACCTGAAATGCAGAAATGTATTTGTTTACATAATTTAGAAAATATTTAACTCTTCTTGCTTCAGCTAATGATCACAAGCAAAAAAAATTTAGACCAATCAGAAAAAAATGAACTAAGCTGATAAATTTAATTTATTCTTCTTTACCTAAATTCTTTAAAAGTTCTACCAGAACTTCTATTGTCTTTATCTGGTCACTATAGAATCTTATCTGTAATGACATTGGTTTCTTATTAGATTTGAGAAAAGTATGGTGATTTTGTAGTTGAAAGAGCCATAGATTCAACATGTTTTTTTTTTTTTCTTAATCTAAGAAGATATCAATTTTAAAAATTCAAATGTTATATAGTTAGAAGTACTTATTTTTTGAGTTAAATTGCATTTGGAGATAAAGAATATTTCCTGAATAATGCAAAGCAAAAACAATAAAATGATGGGAAGATAAAGGCAAGTCTTTCTCAGTAACACACCAACCACTGCCTGGAGAGATGGAGAGGCATCACCTCCATGTCATCCCCCTCACATACTTTCCTAACAGCCATGCTTCTGCTGTCAAAGCCCAACATCGTGCTCTTCTGTGTTATCTCCAAAATAATTTTATTTCTCTTCAACTAAATGTCTGTTAATCTGATGCCTGTACAACTCCAGTACTAGGTTACTTTCTTCTATTCTTACTTTGCCTTAGTTGAACTGTTAAGAAATGGATGAACTGCTATCTCTAGTTATTGGGAATATACTTTGGCCAAATCATGGTGGAAAGATACCACCTATTAACAAGTTACTTCTAGTAAAACCTCAGTTAAAATCGAAGAACTCTCATGTTTAGAATATTGAGAAGTCATAGATCCTAGGGGTTGGGACTTATTTTCCTATTTTAAAGGTTCATGCTGGTTACTGCTAAGGTGACTGGCATTCTCCTCTCACACCATTGTTTTTGAATCTGAAGTTAAGAAGCCTGCCTAAGAAGTCTAATGGTTGAGTGGAGTGCTGGAAAAGAAAGTTGCACATGGGTTTCCAACTTCTTTCCAATCTTACAGATGACCATTATAACTTAATTGATGATGACTTAATCTTTGATCACTTCTTTGTCTCTCTATATGATATGAAGTCACCAATAATTCCATTGTTATAGGCAAACCTTTAATATAGGTGCTCTTTTGTATGTAAAAAATAAATCAGTTTTGTCTTCTAATTTCTCCATACACATCAACACTTTCCATACTATCATAAAATGAAAAATGAATTTTATTCTTTTATTTATACCTCCTTTTCATTCATTTTGGGAGTACTTTTTTTTTTTTTCCTTTTTGTCTTTTTTCGTGTCCGGCAACGGATCGCAACCCTCAGTGTCGCGCCCGTACCGGACCGGGACCGGCAACGGGATCGCAACCCTCGGTGTTGCT